CATGAGAGAGCACAAAGCAGAAGAAAAGCAATAAAGAAAATCAAAAAGCACGTACATCCTAAGGCATGGAAGCTACTCCCTATCCAGCAAATATGCCTTTCATGTGCAGGCAGTGTGACCAAGGACTAACTGAAACACAAAGGCCCCTTCTACTTAAACAGCTGGCGTCCAACAGATTGGGAGAGAGCACTTCCTCAAATCAGCACACTTCATTAAAGGCTTTCCATCAAAAAGGACCAAGGAAAAATTGGGGTTAATCCACAAGGCAAAACAGAAAACCCACGACCCCGCCAGAAATAGCATCCTGCTAAGAAGCGATTTGTCTTTTGGTCAGGAACAGAGCCCAGTGGAAATATCCCACACCTGGACGGCTACATCAAGTCCCAAAACACACAGTAAATCCCTGCCCCGCGTGGACTGAACCACTTTCTTATCAACACCTCAATGTTTTGCCTTTCTTTAGGTTCTGTCATGCCAAAGAAGAACTACAGGGTATTCAGATAATTAATCAGCCCTATTTTACTTCACGTCCTACATTAAAGTAGAGCATCCCCTCTAGAAGATTTATTTCCTAGCCTCAGATGGTCAAGAAGAAAAGCAGAAATGAGCACGTAATATGGTCTCATTTAAAGATAATCAAACACAGAAAAAACTGGTTGGAACCAAGTGCATCTTCCACAGCACTGGCTCTTCAGCTGAGACAGCCACCGCTCCTACGGGAGTTATCACACTTAAATAAGGAATCACTAACAGGGAAAAAACAATGGCTTGGGGGAAATCAAAACCAATTCTTCTAATCCACTGGGGTAATTACAAAAACAAACAGAAACTGATTTGCCACACAACACTCCAGCAAAATAAAACTTCACATTTAGTAAGGTACAGCTTCACTTGTACTCTGGTCATGCTGAAGTTCCTGGCATCTCCTTACCAGGAAAGGAGAAAGGAAGTTATTGTTTCCCACCCTCCCTCTGCTCAGAGCAGTCCTCCTGCCTCCCAGAGCACTCAGAGCACTTTAAGGATAGCTCCAAGGACCTTTAATTTGGGATACATGCCTTTGACCATCACGTCGTTGCATTCCTTGTCATTGACATGGATTAGCTGGCTCCTCAGAGATGAAGGTTCAGGGAGATACAAACGCAACAAGGCAATCACAAGAGACATCCAACCAAGAGACTGCCAGCTCATTGCCAAGCACTCACCAGAACAAAATGAACCACTACAACCAAGCTTACCTGTCATTCTCTTGGCAAACAGTCTTCATACAAACATCACAACACCGCAACGCTGCATCAGAGGCTAATCATGCCAACAAGACACCAACAGGCCAATCTTACCTGACTGCCTTACTGTAAAACACCATGCGGCACTGCCCTGCTAGGATTCCTCAGATCCTGCTTACACTCCTTCATCCTAATGAGGCCATAAAATGGTTACTCTGGAACGAGCACCTAACACTTCCCCACTGCTGCAAGACGAATTCCAAGTTTGTATGTTCTGCAAAGGCTTCCCAAAGGCTGTGAAGGTTGGAATGCAGGGTAATGTTCTTGATGCATTCCTCGATGAAACGGGAGGGCCTGTTGGGACCCTTCATGCAGCCTGGCCCATACTCACTACTGAATTCTCTGTAAGACACAAGTCACGGCTACAGGATAACCTCAAAATCTCACGTACATTCAGAACAACATTTGGGGTCCCACTTTCTTGGTACCTGGTGTGTTACCACATCACACATCTCCCTCAGCTTTGGACAAAGAGCTTCACATTGAGGAGCGTCCCCTAAGCAGAACAAAACACTGAGCCCAGTTTGCATACAGTTTGTATATAGCTACAGGATAGAAAAACATCAGATCGAGGGAGGGAAAACACAACAGGAATTGATCTCCTAAGCTGGTTTACTCACAACCCTGGCCCCGCTAACAGGAATTACAGCAGCAACAAGTGCATTTCTGTCTCCTTTCACAGGTTTAGCCATCTAAAACGTAACACAAAGATATCCATGGTCCCTCATCTCAAGATCATGGGAGGTTACAGCAACAGTAGATGTCCATTTTTAGGCCACTGTCACATCACACCTTTGAGAACATGCACGGTTCAGGTACTGTGCTGGCAGAATCAGACAAGGATGAATATGAGGAACCAACTGGCAACTCTGCAGGATTTCACCACAACAGGGCAGTACAAACTCACCTGACTTGCCAGATAAACAGTAAATGCAGACTTTGCCTTCAAAGACCAGTGAAGGTGCTAACAGAAATGGTTACTGCAGGTCTGTCACAAAAATACCTTTCCCCATGGTAGTGAGAGAACTGCCTGAATAAATACCAGCCCCGCAAGGACATATTTGCAGGCTGAGCTAGCTGTAAAGCCCAACACAGAAAGAATCTTCTTGACATAACTTGGACTTAGTTTGCTCCCCCTCTGGACTTGTTTCATACTGACACTCAAGGAAGAAAGCTCACATGGGAACGCTGACTTACATGGGCGGACACACTGCAAAGTGCTTTCTTCAGGCTGCCCTTCCTCCTGAACACAGGCTCTGGACTTCCTTAGGAACACAGATGTTGCCAAACGCATTGAGAGAGAAACCTCCCTTGCCAAGATTCAAACATGGGCAACCTTTGCCCCATAACAAGAGCCACCCAGCACCCAAAGTGCTGAATGCTTCTGACACTTAAAGGGCTGTTTGTTTGGTTTCTAAGACTACAAACGTGGGGCACTCTGCTTCTGGTTCAGAAACTTCATGGCTAAGTTACATTTCTCCTGTGGCCTGTAGAGTAATCTGGTTTTAACTGGGTTTAGCACAGGTGGAACTCCAAAGGTAAGAGAAGATTACAAGTACAAGAAGAAATAAACTTAATAGGTGGCTCCAGCTGGCTCAGGATAATGTTTGTTACCTAATTTCACTCTCCACGTACTAATAACCAACAACAGCAAACCCAACACTCCAATGATTAGAGATTGGTAATTTCGTTGATGAAACCCTGTTCCGGAAGCCTCTGCTGTATTTTAATGATGCTTCTCTTTCTCAGTGGTGAACAAACTGGCCAGGTTAGCAACAGTTATCTGATTTTACTTGGCTAACCAACCATTTCCAGAAGAAACCAGCAGACAAAACACCTCTGCACTGTTTAACAAGGGCACTAATTTCACCTAAGAAATGGTAAGTTCCATGGTAACTTAATGACAGCCAAATACACAGGTATGCTTAACATACCTGACCACAGACAGCCTTCTCCTTTCCAAAACTGCTCCAGGACACAAACTTCACCCCTACAGCACAACTCTTCTGCTTTTACACACCAATGCCAACAGCCCAATGATGTTAACAATTCAAATGCCATCTCCCGAAACTGGGTTGCAGGATCTGTACATGGTGGTACTGTTCTAGCCTATAACAGGGGAACATCAGAACCTTACACGCACAGGAAAAGGCGTCCCAGGGCTACTTTTAAAGTCATCAAAACAAGATGGCAAACATCCAGAACACTGTGAGCCTGCCAAATCAGACCTGCACGCTACTATTTCTCTGTAGCATTCTTTGCCTGACCAAGCAATGCCAAACTTGACAGCTCGATGTGCTTTGAACCGTGCGCGTTCACAAAGTACCTGCTGCGTGCAACGGGAACAAGGAACACAGCTGTCTGAGTGGCAGACAAAGTGCTCCTGCTCTGGCTATCCACAGCAAGCACCCTGGCATACGGCAGTAAGCTCGCTCTGTCAACACAGTCACTGGGATGGCTTCTTGAAGTGACCACGAAGATGAGCAGGGTTCTCCAAGCGGTGACTCTGCTCATCCATAAGGCCATCAGGCTGCGAGAAACAGACGCGAGGCTCTGCATGGAAACATCGTGTGGGACCAGAGCAAAACTGCCCCAACCTACAGCTCCAAGGGCCTGCAGTCACACCACAACGCGGCCAAACAGAACTAAAGGCAGCGCATACACGAGAACAAAACATCCAGTGCAGTGGCAAACTGGGCAGGCTGGCTCCAGTTACACTGATCGCTGAGAGAACCTAACAGGAAGGGCCCCTCTGCACTGGAGATGCACAGAAAATGAGAGCGTACACGTGCTGCACTTACCCACAGGCAGTAATATCGCCTGCGCTTTAGGAGGAGAAAGAAAGAGAGACAAGGAGCCCTTTAGAATAAAAGCTGTCATTATATTGTTATACTCCTGCATCAAGTTGAACGGTTGGGGCTGCCGAAGCGACCGCGCAACCAAATCGCCTCAAACTCTGACTCACCCGCACTGAAGAGTTCGCTGCTCTGCTCCAAATAGCAGCAGAATTGTCCCAAACCGGCGAGAGATCGCAGGAAAACACTTTCCTGCCTGCGCGCTGCTCAGCTCAGGGGCAAAACCAGCCGGGCTCGAAGCTTTTCACCTCTGCTGTGACACAGATACCGGATGGGCCGCGGGACCTTAAAGCCGCCCCGCCTGTCTGGAGATGGCGAGCACACAGGTGTCACCTCAGCACCGCCGCTAACGGCCCCCCCAGCCGCTGCTGCCCTCAGCAGCAGCCACACGTGTGTCATTCATTACCGCACTCATTAGCCTGCCCAATTTGCACACCTTGTGCAGAGAAGCGCGGAGCCCCTCACCCCCCTCTTTCCCCCCCGTCTGCTGCTCCCTCGCGGCCTGGGGCCCGACCCCGGCACCCACAGGCGGGGAGGAGGGAGCCCAGCCCGGCCCGGCCCGGCCTCGCCTGAGCCCCCGCGGGGGAGGGCGACGCTTCCCGCCGCGGGGAGGACGAGCTGGAGCCGCTCTCCGCAGGCACCGCGGCTCCCGGCACTAACAAAGAAGGCGTCGGGAGCAGGAGCCCGAGCGGACCCGCGGCGGGAGGAAGCGGAGCTGCAGCCCCACAACTCCCCGGGCACGAGGAGCGCGGCCGCCGCTCACCTCAGCCACAGCGGCCCCGGGGGAGCGGCTCCCCCGCGGCTCCCGGCCCCGCCTCAGGCGGCGGCAGCGCGGGCGGAAGGGAGGCGGCGGCGGCCGTACCTGGCTGCTGCTCTCGGCCGGCAGGTTCCTCAGCAGGATCTTGCGCCTGTTGCTCAGCTCCCGCCGGGTGCTCTCCAAGCGCTTCGCCACCTCCTCGGGGGCCAGCGGCGGCCGAACCCCCCGCGGTGGCTCCGCGGGCAGCTCCGCGCCGCGCTCGGCTGCTGCCGCCATCTTGCAGAGCGAGCGGGGGGGGAGCCACGCTGGGCGGGCGGCGGGGGAAGCCGCGGGGCACGGCCCGCCGGCGGGGCGCGGGGAGCCGGGAGCCACGCCAGGCCCCGCCGCGCTCCCGCCACGCCCCAAGGCTGGGCCGCGCCCCCCGCCCGCTCGGGGCAGGCTGAGGGCGGCGGAGCCCCTGCAGCGGCGGCGGGAGCCGAGGGGCGGTGCGGGAGGAGAGAACTCGAGCGGTGCCCACGGGGGTGGGGGGGGAAGAAAACGGGGCTCGGGGGGGAATTTCTTGCCCGCGGTTGTGGCTGCTGAGCTCAGGCTTTAGGAGGAGAGGTCGGGGCCCCACGGGAGCCCCCAGAGCCCTTGGAATGGAAGCCAAGGCCTGGACACTGCCCTTCTCCTCAGGCAGGCACGATGGGGCTCACCTCACACAGAGGGCATCGTTTCCCTCCGGCCCTGCTGTCAATACCTCCCTTGGGTGCGAGTCATGGAATCAGGGACTCGGCCAGCTTGGAAAAGCCCTTCAGGCTCACCCGCTCCAACCGTTCCCAGCCCTGCCAAGGCCACCCCTGGCCCATGTCTCAAAGTGCCATGTCTCCATGCCTTTTCAATCCCTGCAGGGACAGTGCCTGCAGCCCTGCCCTGGGCAGCCTGTTCCAATGCCTGAGCACCCTCTGGGCACAATCCCTGCCCTGGCCCTGCTGCCGCACTGGTGCTGATCCCGGCCAGCGTGCTGGGGGCCTCTTGGCTGCCTGGGCACAAGGGGCTCATGCCCAGCTCCGTCAATCAAGCCCACCCAGAGGGACTGAAATGCAAGGCTGACAACAAAAGAAAGATCTCGAGTGAGCCCCCGTGCTCTGCCTGAGGTGAGCAGGCGCAAAGGCCCAAGGGGATCTCGGTCTCATCTTCCCCACAAACACACCCAACAAATGGCAAAGCACCCAGCTGGGTAAACCAGAGCCTGGGTGCTGGGCTGGCAGCAAAAGTCACCCTGTTGTGGCACAGCACCAGGTAACGGTGGATGTGCAAGCAGGGAGCTTGGGAAGGAAATGCAGAGAGAAGAGCACAACACCTCCCCAAAGGAAAGAGTTTCTGCGAGTCACTGCAAAAGAAATGGCCTCTGCAGTGAAGCCTCCGTCTGTAATAATGTTTCACTGTCAGTCAGCACTTACTGAGACAGAAATATGTTGTCCTCTCGGAAAATTCATCCCTCCTTCGCACAGTTACTTGCAACCTCATTTACAACGCAGTACATTTAGCTCTTAACGTTGTCAGCGTTGCTATGAATGAATGAAGACTCATTCAAATATTTGTACACAGTTTTAGTTCTGGAGCTGACCACAAAGAGCAGGCAAAAGAGAATCCAGACCTGGAAAATAATGGTCTTAAAAAGGAAACTGGAAACTCACTTGGAGTTAAATTGGGTACATAGAATCATGGAATAGTTAGGGATGGAAAGGACCTGAAGATCATCCAGCTCCAACCCCCCTGCCATGGGCAGGGACACCTCACAATAAACCAGGTCACCCAAGGCTCTGTCCAACCTGGTCTTGGACACCACCAGGGATGGAGCATTCACAACCTCCCTGGGCAACCCATTCCAGTGCCTCACCACCCTCACAGGAAAGAATTTCTTCCTTAGATCCAATCTAAACTTCCCCTGTTTAAGTTTGAACCCATCACCCCTTGTCCTGTCACTACAGTCCCCAATGAAGAGTCCCTCTCCAGCATCCCTATAGGCCCCCCTCAGACACTGGAAGGCTGCTATGAGGCCTCTCTCTTCTCCAGGCTGAACAGCCCCAACTTTCTCACCCTGTCTTCATACAGGAGGTGCTCCAGCCCCTGCTCATCCTCGTGGCCTCCTCTGGACTTGTTCCAGCAATTCCATGTCCTCTTTATGCTGAGGACCCCAGAATTGCACACAGTGCTCCAGGTGAGGTCTCACATGGGGTATATGTGACAAAGTTCCTATCAGCACAATTAATTCTGGATGATAATTCTTGGCTAGGTGCAATCTTAGAGATGGGATTTCCAGTTAGGGGGAAAATAAATCCCCAGCCAAATAACAACAGTGGGTTTAGGAACCGCTTTAGTCCAAAGCAAAGCGAGCGAGCGAAGGCTACAAAGAACCTTGGGCCTTCATTGCTTCCAGAATTAACTGACAACCTGCTAAGCAAACAAGAAAGTTCCTTTTGGTGTATGATAAACTCTGTCAGGGCTGACAGGCTTTTGTCCAAGGGCTTCCTTTTCCCATCACCTTTTCAGAGAGGTCATGTTCCTCCTTCAGGATCTGCCTTTTGTTCAGTGGAGGTTTGGAAATCAGAGGTGTGAAGGACATTTGTAAACGGTGCCTATTTGTCAAAGGACAATTTGATGGTGTTACTGTCCTGTCCAACCCTAACCGTTCTCTGAACTGACAAATTCAGCCTGTCCTGGACAGGATTGGCTCAGCCTTCATACGTAAACCAAGAAACAGGAAAAGCGAGCAGCACAAATTGTCAGTGTGAGCTCTGATCTAAGGAAAAGTGGATATGATTAGAAAAAGACTTCCACAGCTCACCATTATTTGAGAAATTCAACTGAGTAACAAGTATAGACCTCGTAGTTTAGAAAATCCCAAATGATTTACATTTTAAAACTGTCAAACACCCGTCCCAGCACAAGGCGGGAGGTACAGGCTGCTTAAATCCCAAGGATTTACAAAGTATTAATCAGGCTGCCTATAAAATTATCCCTGGAAAAGATAAAAACTGAAAGTGAAAGCTCTTCTGGTGACCATTCACAAACTGATTTTCAGGTGAAGCTGTGCAGTTGAAGCAGGGATGCTGAATACTGTCTCCTCCAAACCTGTTTCAAGCCTGTCAATCACAGCTTGTGTGGTGTGAATTATTCTGGGACCAGGAAAAAGAGTGCTCTGCTGGGAACGTGTGTTCCAGCTGGAATACTGAAACACACAACTACCTCCTCAGCACCAGCTGCCAGATGAAGCTGTTCCAGGTAAATGATGGACCTGCTCAAACATCACACAGTCCAGTGAAGCTAAGGAAGGAGTGGAAGCACAGTCATTAATTACAGCGTTAATCTAGCCAGCCTGAAGGTGGACACACAGACACCCTGTATGCTACTGGTAATTAATCCTACCTACAGCAATTCCCTTCTCAAAAGCTGCCTGCCTGTTGGTTTAGGCTTTTACACCAGGCTGCAGCTGGGTCTGAATGCAGTTCAAGAGGAGTTAAAGCACATTGCTAACAGAAGTAGCTCAGGAATGAAGAGTTTGGCATTAATGGCAGAACTGCTGCAGTATTGGTTGTAAAGAGTTCCAGAGAAATGTGGGTTTCTTGCTCTAGGGATACACATTTTAAAGGTTGTCTTTGGTAGGGAAAAGCCCTCCTCTCGTCTTTCCCTCCCAGTGTTCCCATTTCATGCTGTGTACAGGCAGTTGATGTGGCACAGGTAGATTAAGGAATTGCCCGCACTGAACAGCAACTACAGAGTGCTGTGGGAAGAGAGCAGGGAATAGCAGAGACACTGCCGATGGCCATGGAGGTGTCCGTGTAAACGGGGAGGTGGGCCATGCATCCCCTCACGTACAACCAAAATCAGCCAGGCGGGCATCAGCACCAATAACTGATCTGTCCTGAGGGAATAACCCCTCCTGAACCCAAATGGCAACGCTTTGAGCTACACGACACCCTCAGGCAGGGGCCTGGGGGATTAAAAGAACAATCAAGATTAGGCACCAACACAGTAAAACACTCCAGCCCATTAGAGCTGCCCCCAGAGCATCAGTGGGCACATGAATACAGCAGGGAGGCTGTGCAAGCCAACAATCCAGCCTCCTTTGAACTTGCACAAACGCATCCATGCAGTTTGATGTGCCTGAACCGCCACAAACGGGTCAACCTCAATGCCTACCAACTGCAGACATGCGGTTCTCTCCTTCAACACGTTAACCTTTGTAACAGTGAAAATACATCGGACAAACTCCAAGAGTCCTCGCTAACCCCTGCCACAGGAGTAGGAAAGAGGCTTCACAACGACCGTTACTGCCCCCGGTTCCCTGCCACTTTGCAGGCATTGAATTCAGTTCATTAAATTCCTTGTTAATTAAGAGTAATGTACCCATCCACAGCAGTTGCTCTGGTAGCTCTTCTAAGCTGAAGATTAATTTAGCCCTGCTTCTGCAGCTTTGAAGTAACACCAGCCACGTAGAACTTTTCATTTTCATGGGATGAGAGGGTTAAATTAGAACCCTGGGAGCCAAGAAAAGCCAAGCTCAGAACATCTGCTGCATCTCAAAGGCCCATCTCGTATTCTCAGGTACACAAGATAGCAGAGAAGTATCTGTGAGCTCCTTAGGTAAGGGATTTCTTATAGAAAAGAGAAATCTGAACAATTTTCTAGCCCCTGAAACCATGGGATTTGTGTTTCCTGCAAGGAGAGGGTGTGGAATCCATCAGCTGCTGTGAATTGGAAGCTTCCAGAAACCCCCTGATTGCTTGCCCCACTTCAGGTGAACAAAGTGCAGCCAATACCATCCTCTTCAGCCTGCATTGTGCCCACTGTTTCCAGCTCCAGCTGCTCCTTTTGTTTCATCAGGAAAGTGAGACTGTGAAACCAAGAGATGAAGATTCCCTTGGGAGCACCAGTCACGAGTCCAGGAATGACCATCTAATGCTCAATCACACGTCTCACAAATGCCATTGCCTCCAAAATAGACCAGAGGTGCCAAAAGAAGTTCCTGCCACCGTTTTTCCAGTGAATTTCAATACGTTTGGTGTTCTCAGTGTAACATCCTGCAGTGCAGTGACAGTGGGGATGGTTAAACAAAGGGAATTTCCTATCAAATGACCCAGCTAGAACAGCACAGTGAGCAACTGACACCGTCAGCATTCTGATGCAGTAAGAACTGGGTAACCCCTCTCTGCAGGTAGCACAGAGCTGCTCTGCAGGGCTGCAATTCCCTCATTAACCATTCGAATAACTAACTTGGCAGGTGCAGACTGCAGTTGTGTTGAGACA